GAGTGAGTGAGTGAGTGAGTGAGTGAGTGAGAGAGTGAGTGAGTGAGTGAGAGAGTGAGTGGAGTGAGGCAGTGGTGAGAGAGTGAGTGAGTGAGTGAGTCAGTGAGTGGAGTGAGTGAGAGAGTGAGTGGAGTGAGGCAGTGGTGAGTGAGTCAGTGAGTGAGTGAGTCAGTGAGTGAGTGAGTCAGTGAGTGGAGTGAGTGAGTCAGTGAGTGAGAGAGTGAGTGAGTCAGTGAGTGAGTCAGTGAGTGAGTGAGTCAGTGAGTGGAGTGAGTGAGTGGAGTGAGTGAGTGAAGTGAGTGAGTGAGTGAGTGAGTGAGTGAGCGAGTTGAGGCTAGGGAAGCTTCTATTTTTCCCAGTTAAAATTCAATGTCATTTTATTGACTAGACAATGGCCACCTGCTTACCATAATCAGTCACAAAAAACTCATACATGGTGTACGCCGTGTCCTTAGGTATTTCTGGCAAGCTGATCTTGCTCTGGTGGCTACGTAAGAAGGCTTCAAGCTTTTCTCTGTTTTCCAGTTCCAGAAGGGCTCCCAAACTCCACATGATGCCAAACACAAACAGCTTGTGAAGGTGCTCAATGCAAGAGACCCCGCCTTCTTCTTTGGATGGTATTAAACCTTCCAGGAGAGTCAGAGACTGAAACAACAATCAAAAGGAGTTGAAATAATTAGACAGCTTTACCGGAGGAAGGGCGAGGAAAGGAAATAAAGATATTTCAAGACACTGCTTGGTCACTGTCCTACCGAAAAACCCTCACTGGCATGGAGTTTTTAAAGCTGACTCATAGCGGCCCTTTAGGACACAATAGAACTGCCCCTGGGGGTGTCTGAGATGGTAACTCTTTATGGGAGTAGAAAGCCTTGGCTTTCTCCCATGGAGCAGCGGGTAGTTTCAAACTGCTGACTTTGCCATGAACAGCCCAGTGGGTAAGCCACTCTGCCACCAGGACTCCTTCACCGCCCTGCAGTCAACAATAGAAAGAAGTAGAAGAAAGGCTGGTCTGCTTGGAGAAGGATGTTTGATCTACAACAGTGGTTCTCAACCTCCCTACTGCTGCGACCCTTTCATACAGTTCCTCATGTGGTGGTGACCCCCCCCAACTATAGCATTATTTCTGTTGCTGCTTCATCACTGTCATTTTGCTACTATGATGAATCCGG